GATTGGAATCTGTGCAATGTGTGTTTCGAAAAGGCAAAACCAAATGTTTTGCAACAGTAGAAACAATATATTTAAATGTGTTTTTGCTCTTGTCAAAATCTTAGTTTTATACATTCAAATGAAAAATGACAGATTAGAAACAACAGTTTCAAACCTTTCAGAAGTGTTCCTGTCAAAGCCTTGTGTTGTTTGTTTTTAAAGTTTCGCTCAGAGTTGTAGCCAGGTTTGATTTGTTCAACTGTGTGATTATGTTTTCTGTAAACGTCATGATCTAAATGCTGTATATTGCTATATAAATAATATGAGTATTGCAAATGTTCACACAAAGGAAGATGTTGCTATCGACAGTGTGTTTCAGTATCACAAGTACATGCTGTTTATTATGAGTGATGGGCATAAGATATAAGCTGTATCTTCACTTCCCAGCCTGAAAAGGCCTTGATGATAAATACAGTTATTATTACACTCCTTATTCAAAAAGATGCCCCCATTGTTTTGTTCTGATGACGAGGCTCCTGGGAAAGTCACTTCAGGTTTTTCCTTTGTCTTCTGTTTTTTTTTTTTTTTTGCTCCACTGATTGTCTCCTTCCTTAGTGCTTAAGCCTCTAAATGGTTTTGCCGTTCCATCAGCCTCCACCCTTGAGGTCAACAGGCACATAGCGCTGGTTATGCAACCAGTATGATGCCACCTGAGGCCTCTGTCTTTTAAATCTCTGTGCTCTCGGTACTTACTCCTCTGGTGAGCAGGAGGAATGCAAACAAAAGATGTAAGGGGTGATGCCAGTATGGCAAACGAAAGCCTGCCTCTGTAGAAAACCCCCGTGAACTTCCACAAATGAAAAACATTTGAAGTGATATGAATGTTTTGTGTTCTGATGAGAGGTTCTCCTTCACTTCAGTGTGTGCAGTTCGAAGTTTAACTCGACGGGCTCTCAAAGGCTTACGAGCAGAGTGCAGCATACAAATGCCTTAATTCTCACTGTTAATGGATTTCTGTCAAAGTTGAAAGCGTGGCGTTTGTTCTTCCCGCTAGTTTCAGTTTTATTTGCCCTTGAAGTTACATCCAGACCTCTTAATTAAGTGGGTATCTTTAGAAATGCCTTTTACTGAAAAAAGTGTTTCACAATGATGTGGTTTTTGTGATTAAAAAAACAGTCTTTGTAAAATCCCAGTTGGGGCAGTTGGGAGCTCACCTGGTGAGCTGGCGTCCCATATATAGGGGCTATAGTCCTCAAACGCAGCAGTCATGGGTTCGAGTCCCGCTCGTGACCCTTTGCTGCAGGTCCTTCCCCCGTTCTTCTCCCCCCACTTTCCTCTATCTCTCTCTGTCCTATCTGATAAAAGCCACACAAAAAAATCGAGAAAAAAAAAAATCACAGTTTCTTGTTTATTAGAATCCCCATTGGCACCAGCATAAGCATCGGCTATTCTTCCTTGGGTCCACACACATACGCACAATCTCACTTATACACACAACAGCAACAACCAAAACAAAACATAACAACTCGTCTCGTTAACTTTACAAAATAAGGAAGAGAAACAAATTGTCATTCAGTACACTATACATTAAATCATATACAGAATTATAGATCCATCATTATTAATCTGGAACGCATAATTCTTCATCATAGACACACAATCAGAATGACCTTACACAACATCTTATCAGTCCAGTTCTTCAACCAATTGTATCCAAGAAAATAGGGCAAATTACATTCTATATTCTTTGCTCTCACAAGCATTACATTTTATTTTTAAACACCATTTTACTGTCTACACCTTCTCAAAAACTTGTAAATATTGTTTCAACAAAATTTTGAAACAAAAAACAAAAAGTTACAACTTCATAGTTGGACATGAGGTGGGATTTACCAGCCAGAGAAATAAGAAACAGAAGTATATTAAATCTAACAGGCAAGCAATTATTCTGGAAAACCGGATGTAGGTTAACAAAATTGTTGCTAGATAGAGAGAAACGCACCAGCAACCCACCGCTAAGGTAAGACTAAGACGTTATAAGAAAAGAGTCAAAGAAAAGAAGTTTACAAATGCATCTAGCTCAGACAGAAAAGAACTGGTGTTATCAAACACTGGCACATCAGGCAAGACATTAGATAATAGTCTTTGCTCTCTCTTTCACATAAACGCATGCAGCAGTTGATTCTTTATTTACCATAATAATGTCAAATGTCATTTCTCGGTGTGTCTCTAACTAATTAAAATATCCTTTATGTGCAGCCAGTGCTTCTAAGAAGAGATGTGGTTGTGTTGCGTGCATCATAAAAATAGTTATCTTTAGACGAGTCTGGGAAGAAAAAGAAGTATTTCCCAGAACTGTAGGTGTTTGCGGCACTAAGAAAGCGATGTGTGTCACAGTACATGTTGGCACACATACACAGGACAACATGACCTTACATTCAGTCCAAAGGGCAAACTGTATCAAGAGAGGCGATATGGATGTAATCTTCTTACATGGTGTATGTCATTTTACATTTAGATAGCATTATATGATAGAATTATATGTGAAGTTACAGCACATTTCCTGGAAAGTTTGTTTATATAAAGATACAGTATAAAATCGTATTGGATACAGAACAAAAGTGGACACACAAACAAACAAACACAACTTTGTTCCTGTCATGATGCCTCACCACACTTACAGACATGTCTGGCACTGGATCATGATTGGCTACTCATATCACTCCTAAGCACTACTGAAAATATGAAAATATAAGTTTGGTATTTTCTATGACATCCGTACTAGTACAGCAGTAGAGTTAATAGTCCCAAGGCCAACATGCTTACAATGATTCTCTTGAACAGGGCACAGAGGTTAAAATGTTGACTTGTGAATTCACCAGATGTCAATCGAATTAAACATCTGCAGGATATGGTGAAAAAACTGGTCCATTTATATCCATTTAGGCCCCACCTCACAGCTTATGGGACTTAAAGGAAATGCTGCAAACTTCTTGTTAATTGATACCACAGGACACTTTCAGAGGTCTCCAGGACCATGGACCTGGATGGGTAAGAGTTGTTTTTTAGTGGCGTAAGAAGGTGCTACATGATACTACGCACGTGTGGTTGATCCAGGCCCACAGACAGAGTTTGGCTCTGATGCAATTTGATATAGTGACTAAAAATGTCAATGTGTTAGCGATGCTAAGCAAAAAATCAGGGCATCACCAAGGTCAGCCTTTAAATGTCATGGCATTAGTGTTGTTTTAAAGATGGCCTCCAAGGAAAAATCAAGTTTTTGGCTTTATCCCCAGGGTGTTTTTTATATTCTTTAAAAATTATTAAGAAAATTAGCAGTCAATGCTGTGGTTGAGCATCAGTTTAAGTTTCATAACAGTTTCAAAAACATAAATTCAAACTTCTGGGGTACGTAACAACCTGAAGGAATCAATTCTGTTTTTTTGAGATGTGGCACTTTCTGTATCATTATCCCTCTGAAGAATGAGTTTCTGTGTCGACCATGTATGGCCGTGTCATTCAAATGTCACGCCATTGAGATTCAAAAGCTTTAATGTCATGTGCAACAGTGAAATGAAATACTTAGTAGACCTATTTACAGACACACTCATCACTCTCATCAACTCGAACAAACTAAGGCAGTAAATATGAATAGTGTAAAATGTTCTGTACAAAAAACAATTGTCAAAGAAACATGTACAATATTCATTGTGCAGAAACCTCTGGATCTGGTTCATGCGAACTAAGGTAGGCAATGTTGACTATAAAAAGTAAAGTGCGACAAATGAAGAAGGAACTGTGTAATAAGGTATGCACAATGTCTCATGGTGCAAAGGTCAATGTGTGAAAAAAAAATACTGTAGATTGTGTTAAGTCCTTTGGGTCTCTTGGTCGGTGCAGAAGCAGGTATTTCTAGGATTGCACATTCAGGATGAAGCAATAATGTAGACTAACATTTAAACTCCTTTTTTTTTTTTTATTATTGTCATGTAACTGTAATAGAA